CTAGTTTCAGTCCTTAAAGTTCCCTCTTGATATAGCCCTAACTCACAGTTATCTGACTGCGGATCTGCTCCTGATTACGTAGCACGCAAAAAAGATACCCTCCCAAATCATAGCGACACGCAGCGATCTAAGTGTGGACTTGTAAAGTGATATAACGCAGACGCTGCAGTGCCAAACGTGTACCATCACGATATGGGTGTACCCAGGACATTTTTATGGGGGAGGGGATCTAATATTTTTATTTTTTCTGTTCTCCAATTATAATTATAGTTTAATTCTATACCAACAAATTACTGTTAATAACTACTTATATAGTACGGTTTATAAATTATAGGTATGTTGAATTATCTATAAACTTTATACGTTGAAGATAATGGAAAATTAGAATAACAAAACCAATTTTATTTTAACGTTAAAAATAATTCTAAGAGCACTTTTTAGTATATTTAAAAAAAAAAAAATTGTTTGAGATCTTTAAATTATATTTTTTCAAAACCTTTTTTTTTTTTTTTGTTATTTAAAATATTTAAATCCGCTCCCTACTTATTATAGTTATAAATTGAAATATTAATTAAAATTTCCTAGATTCTAGATCCTCGATCTAATTCACTTCTGGCAATTTCTTTAGAATTCCACCAAAAGTGTGTTTGAGGGCATATATCAACGACGTGACGTACCGTTTGTTGCATGTCACAATCATGAGAAGGAATTCTGACATTCCCCATTTATGCAATAGATAGTTTCCTGTTTTCGTTCTTTTTAACATTGACCATAGTGTTCTCGGGAGATCAAAGCCCGGGGCTCTCAGTTCTGGGTCGTCTATCAACGAAACGTTCTGTACTCCAGAGGTTTTTCATCGTTTTTTTCACTCCTCCACCATTGTTTCTTCCGTTGGTTCTAGGTCTCAATCGGGAGAGTCTTCATTTCTGAATCATAATAGCAACTTAATATTATATTAAACTATACGAGAAAACGATAATAGAATTCACGACGCAACCATAACGATATTGTGACGTTTATGTTTCATAATAAAATACTAAGGATAATTATTTTTGAGTAAAAAAAAAAAACATAATAATATCGGATAACCGAAAAAATCACCAAATTACAACGATGACAATTTTCTGATGAGGTTCGCGATTGGCACGTATGTATCATACGTTGTCAATCGTTAAACCACGTTTTCGCATCGATAATCGGATGAGGTGGCGCTGCCGATCCGTCAGGACTTATGCGAGTTTTGAAAGATCGTGTTGAAAAAAACATGTAAGACGCGTATCGCGATAAATCGTATGATTTATAATACTACCTATGTGTGTAATAATTAATGTTAAATTATTTGAAAAATTGCCAAGTCGTTGGTAAACTGTTTGGATAATCTGGTTTTTATTAATTTATTTTTCTATTCGCTTTACATCACGGACCATTCTGAAGAGAAAAAATATCCAAACTCCATTGTCGAGTTCTAGTTCAAAAAGTTTAAATAAATTAAATAGTGTTGCTTGCACACGAAAAAATTGACCTCAATTAACTGACCATTCATTGAACTCTGTCTTGACGAAGAATATCCGAACAGATTTAAGACATCTGTTTCGTATATTTTGTATTATTAACATTATCGTTGGACATGCTGTATGAGTAAACATTTGAAGATTTTAAAACTTTGTTTTTGTAATATATATATTCAAATAATCGTATTTTTTTATTTTTCTTTTAGCTGAATTCGGTACAACGGAAATCCATTATTATTTATGGTTAACGCCATTCGAGTTTCTAAAGTTCGTAATCACGGTTTTATTAGAAATGCAAACAAAAAATAATGTAGTTAAAGTTCTATAAAACAATATCTTGAATTCGTACGAAAATATTTACATTTTTAATATTGTTATCTTTTAAATTTCAGCTTTTGATGGACTGTTTATTATTCATTATTTTACTTATAGCGTGACCAGTATTTGGTTCAATAATAACGCTACCGATACAGCTACACCATTTATATGATATAAACTGTGTACGCTTCACCGAAACAAATGCTGATAATCCTAAGTATGCTAAAATGAAAATTAAAATAGCGCCCAAACAGCGGTAGTGTACTATTTTATATAATACAAAATAATCGATCAAGCGATGTTACACGGATAGCCTTTTGAATAATCTCTCTTAAACGATGTGAACAAATACTGTTTATTTTTCAAATCAATTCACCGAACCTGTCACTATCGTCTAGGTATACCAATAGATAGAAATTATTTATCAATATTATACGGAACACCTGTTATCCAAAACTATACAAGACAAGTTGTAGACAATGTGGGGGGTTAAATTCAAATAGCATAAATATCTCACGTCAGTACTGCTTGGACTTTAATTGAGCCAATAATTCGTCCGGTTGTAAAATGTTCACCTGTATCTACAGGAAAATACGGCAATGAAAGAATCAAGTTTTAAAATCAATAACATTTTTAGACCAAAATATATCCAACAGTGGGTGATATATTTAATTTCACTCATTAAAACGGTAAATATTTAATTGTTAATGTTGATCTAAATTTAAATCGAAAAAATATGACGTGAAATTAAATATAAAAAAGGTTTTCATTTTGTTTATAAAGCACAAGTTATTTCTTTTAACACGAATTTGAAAGTTTTTTACACGACGGTTTCAACAAAAATGCTAGTCCATTATATTTGAATCATTTCAATTTATCACCCTGTCACGCTTCACAATATTCCATCATTGAACACATTCGTTTGATACTTTTTTTGTACCGCCCATCATATTAAATATTAATTTACTACTACGTAGTGCATTATGTTTCGAAACAGGTCCACAGACGTCACATTTGTCGTCTCTGCGGCAAAAGAATATTACAAACGCAAAGTATTGCACAGAGAACGTATTTAACGAATTTCCAACTCAATAGGAAGCGAAAGTTTGTGTTGTCGATAAACTGAGACGAATGCGCACTCTCGAGTGAACATTTATTTAATTTTATTTTTTCCGTTTCATCGGAATGCCGTCGATAAACACACGCGGGTAACGTGTTGAAATATAATATCGAAAAATTGTGCACTACTCTGTCCGTTCGGGCACGAATAATGGTTCAAAAGCCACATATTCTACCCCTTCTGACACGGGTGAATAGTAATAGAGAAAAAATATCTCTGGCGCGTGCCCATCCAGGTGCATCGGGTACGTAGTCCGACGGTGCACAGCTGCAATCACAATTCGTGCACTCTTTATTCGACCGTCGTTAGAACTGCTATCCTCACTAGTCAAGTCTTTTTAATTGTTGAAAACCGGATAATGTGTATAAATGAACATTGTTAGGTGCGTTACCCCAGCACCCGTACTTTCGAAATCATGAATTGTAATCAAGCAGTATAATGTACTTTACTTTGTACAATTTTGTACAACCAAAATTAAATTTTGTACAACCCCCGAACTTCCCCGAAATTCAATTTCATTTTACGGGTGCTGCGGCAACGTAACCAGCACCCGGATCAACTATTACTCACAAATTTCAACTTTAAACCGTACAGTATTATGTACTTTATTTTGTACAATTTTGTACAACCAAAATTAAATTTTGTACAACCAAAATTAAATTTTGTACAACCCCCGAACTTTCCCGAAATTCAATTATTATTAAACTTTTGGATTTTAGAGTGATGAACGTGTTTTTTTTACAATGATGTATCCTTTTTTTTATTTTATTTTTATTATTGTGTCTGTCGTCACGTTTTGGAGTAGTAATAGTGCATTGATTTTTGACTTCAGCCCCTCTTAAAAAGAAAATTTAATCTAGTTTATACTTTAGGTGGTTAAAAGTAAAAAATGTATTTTAGTTTTTAAGAGACCCTGTAATAACCCTGAAAAAGTAACGGAAAAACGGGAATTTTTACGTATAACCACTTTTCGACTAAATGGATTTTTTAATTTTGCTCAAAAGCGAATCTTTGTAAAGACTTGACATTTTAACTAAATGTTTATATTAGCGTTATATATTTATGATTAAATTTTCAAAATATTTAGAATTTTTTCAAACTATTTATAGACTATTGAAATTTTTGATTATTCTATTTTTTTTTCTTGAAATACCGATAAAAAAAATTTGGCTTCTAAAAAATCTTTAAAATTTAATAAAATATTTATTATAAGTTGTTCTTATTGTAGGGGAAAAAAATCAAAAATCGTTAGTCACAATTTTTATTTAAAAATATTAAAATTTTAAATGTTTACAAAATGTGTTAAAATCGCGAAAATTTACAAGGAATTTTGAAGATGAAAATTAATAAAATTTTTGTAAATTATATCTAAGGTTAAAAACCCAACACAAGGTTCTCCATTACTTTTTCTTCAAATAACTCTAAAAAAAAATTCTAGCGTTAATATAGATGAAATGTTATGTACGTAAGAAATTTATTTTTTTACGAAATAAAGTAAAATAACGATATATTATAATTTAACTATATAGCTTGTAATATAATATATCCTACTAATTATCCTAGACTGACAAATCATCTCCGTTCATAATGGTTTTTCACATACAATGATACCTGACATTGCATTCAAATTAAACATATCCATTATAGTTATCTACTCTCCATCTATACTATACAGCAGAGCGTTATCCACTTGCCTACCTTTTTTCTTTTTCTTTTTTCTTGAATGTCATTCTCTATCTAAGCACAGAACTGTTTATTTTATTTTTTTCCTTTTGGTTATTGTTCTCCAGATAACCAACATCTTCTCAATTTCTGTTTAACCTCTTATGCGATCAATACACTTGTCAATTTTAACCTTGCTCTATCTATTTGATATCAAATTTCTGTGCTACAATATTTTAAGTAGGTAATAAAGTTTTAAAAAATAAATACAATTTATCAAAAATGTTATATTGTATATATTAAAAATTCTACATTTTGTTTATTTCCATGGGGGTTTGTAGTTGTTTCTTTAAGGTCGTCATACACTTCTCACCGATCATTGTCTCGCCGTACCATTTACTTATAATGTCCAGTGGATACTCTTAAACCAGAGCGACCCCCACTTACAAATACGATTGCACTTCTTAAATAGTATTTTTTGGTTCTTATTATTAACATTTTTGGTATTTCCTCCAAGTCCCATAAAACTGTTTTTGCATAATTTTGTGGAACATTACAGATTTTAGTAATATCTCCATAACTCGTTGATGCTTCAAGTTCTACAAAATACAAGTTAGTAAATCAATTTTTTTTTAGGAATTTTGGTAATATATAATCATTTTAAAGTATGAAGATAATTTATTTTACCTTTTGGAAGTGACATAAGCTCAATCAATAAATGGGATTTGGCATTGATTGTGTGTTTCCTTCTTGATGGAAATTCAATACAATCTGTTTCTTTTTCAGTAGAAAAGTATTTTTCAATTTCTTCTTGTACATTAATGTAACCATCAAAAGCACATAACGAAAGGACTGGGTATTTTTGTACAATCATATAATTAGGACATAACATATTTTTGCAAACATTCAATTTTGTATATGATGGCAATTTATTGAATAGTTTAGTTGCTGTAGATGTTAATGTCCCCATAACATCAATTAGTTGTATATTACCTACTAGAGTATGTTCTTTATCATTATATGGGTAATGCAGTGCCAATTATTCTATTCGTTTTGTATACAAATTAGTTTTTTTTAAATTTTTTGTACTTAAAATTCTAGTTATAAATTTTGCTGTTTTGTCAGATGTTTCATGTTTTATCAAGAATGAGAGATAGTTACTATTGTCTGCAGCTGCATAGGCCAAAGATGTTAATATAGAATCAACAGAACAAGTATTTCTTAATATAACTTTCCTATGTTTTTTACTGTTTGAGGCTTGTTGTTAAAAGTATTTCCATTTTTTAAAAATACAATTTGTTTTTCTGATCCTTTTTTGTTGAGATCGAGTTTCTCAAATCCTGCCTGTGGATTAAGGTAAGATTTTTTAGATCGACTATTTTTAAATGCTGTTGACTTTCTTTTCTTTTGCCATTGTTCTTCTGCATTTGTTTCTGTATTACATTCTACACAGGTCAAACAAATCCGTGTCTCACCATATCCCTTATCACTATCTATATTTTTTACCGAACAGCCAAATAAATGAACTGGCTTGGTACATTATACACAACGATGGGCTCCTGTAGGAAAATTACCTTACTACACGCTAAACATGGATGTAGGATACCTGATACTTCTTCATTGATTTGTTGACTTTCATTTACCTTTTCATCTAAATCGTTAGTATAATATTAGTATATACTAGTATATATGTTAGTATATTACTGTATAATTACAAATGTATGTATTAGAATTTTTATCAAGTGTCACTGTATCTATGTGAATTTTATCATTTTTTTCGTACTCAGCATCAGCATTTTCATTATGATTTTTACTGTTGTTAAATTTATTTCTATTTTTAAAAAATACAATTTGTTTTTCTGATACTTTTTTGTTAACATCGAAGTCCTCAAATCCTGCCTGCAGATTAAAGTAAGATATTTTTGATAGATTATTTTTAAATGTTGTCGACTTCCCTTTCTTTTGCCATTGTTCTTCAGCATTTGTTTTTGTATTACGTTCTATACATGTATTTGAATTTTTATCAAGTGTCACTATATCAATGTGAATTTTATCAACTTTTTCATAGTCAGCATTTTCTTTCAGATTTTTTCTGTCAGAATCACTTGATTGATTTGATGTAATTGTATTGGTGTCATATATTTTTTCAAGCGGAATATTATTTTGAATTAGTAAGTGATCGCCTTTATAATAGGAAACAAATCTTTCTAAAAATGTATCAATTCTTAATGGTAAATTATCACTTTTAAAAACTCTATTTTTAAGTTGATTGAAATTACTTTCAATTCGGACACTTGAAGCTGAAGCTTCTCCAAAACAAAATGTTTTTCTTATAATACCTGACCAACAAGAATATAACTTCATAGCCTTAATTATAAGAGGCACAATTTTTGGAGTATATTGTGCATTGTCAATATCACTTTCATTTGTTTGAACTTTCATTTTACATTGCTCAGCTATTGATGATGCCCAAATCTCAAATGAATCAAAAAAATCTTCACGTAAATCTTCAAGATCATGATCTTCGGAAAGTTCTTTGGCTTTATTATTTTCATCAATAAAGGTATCATACTCCTGTAGGTATGAAATTTTATTGGAAATTATAGATTACAGATATTTTTTACTCGAGGCACATATAGTATCTTCTGTTAATTGTTTATTTGATATTGAAATATGACCATCGTATTGTTTCAAAGCTACATTAAAAATAGCTTTGAGTATTTTATTGGCTTCTTCAATTGAATTACAGTATATTAGTAGTGCCATGGATCTCACAAATAGTGATTTTGTTCGAGCAAACTTAACATTTTCCAAATGAGTCCATTTGGTTATTAAATGAATAAAATTATTTACATCATTTCTAATATAGCATGTGAGTATAGAGCAAGTTCTATCATTTGGATTAAAAATTAATTTGTAACATGATTCTAAATATGCCTGTAGTGACTTGTATCGTGTGAATGGTTACACGATGGCTGACATTAGAGCTAATGATTGATCACATACAATCATTTTTAGTGGTTTAATGCCACATCTAAGCCAACGATCCAACCAAGAGTATATGGATAATGTATCATGTTTTTCTGAAATTATTGATAGTGCAGTAAATATTTTACCTTCTATTTTCATAATACCTTCATACAAAAACAGATGACTACTTTGATCACCATTCGACCTCTTAATTTTCTTACAACATACACCTATTACATCAAACGACAACGTTGGTATTTTGACTCTAGAATAACATTCTTTGTATATCTGTAATTGCAGGTTGCTCCAAAAATGAACAAAAAACCCATCGTATCCAACATTTCGAACAGTTGAGTAATAAGTTTCAGAATGTTTCATAATATTTACAGCAACTATTGGATTGGAATGAAACCATTCGGCATTTATAACTCTACTCTTAGCTGTTCTTAGAGTTTGATTGTTTGGTATTTGAGCTGGGATAGAATCTCCTAAAAATATATTTTGTTAGGTACATTGTGTTTTTATTGTTTATTATATGTATAACATTATATTATAATAATGGTTCATAATACTATAAATACTCCAAAATAATTATAATAAAAGTTATTAATAGATAAATGATAATGTAACTTGATTAAAGCATTGTTGTAGCAAGGAGGATGTTGTAAGGATGTAATAATATTTCCCTTAACCATGTTTATTTATTACAAATATACATATAGTAAAATGTTGAAAGATAAATTATTTTACAATATGGTCAAACGTTATTTTTTAAAATACTTCCTTTGAAAATGTCTAACAATTTAATTTTCCCTTTAAAAAAAAAGGAATATTTGATTCACAAAAAAAACTTCCTACTTAGTGTAAAATATACATAATATAGTAATTTGAATGATATCATGTTTCTTCATATTAAAATTACAAGCATTGTAAGAATATAATATATTTTTTAAACCAAACATTTTAACAAAATCAATTTTTTTTTTTTTTTTTTACTTTAAGCATTATTTTATACATAAATTAATCAGTAGCCTAAAATGTTTGGGGAAAAATTTCAAATAATTTAAATTACCCTCTTTCATCAAACGTTTCGCTTCCATGCGGTTGAAAACCGAAAGATCAATATGTTTGTCAAGCATTGCTGCTACAGCATGAATTTTTTGAGTGCCCATTAACTTGCGTTTTTTTGAATGTGAGATATTATAGGATCCAGAATATTTACATTCCATTATTACTCTGTAAAAAAAAAATAACAAATTAATGTGTTTAATATTTTAATTAGACATATATCATACAGGTACAAGGTTCTATACAATAAGATGTATATTACATTTGTACCACAATGGTCAATCTAAATATTTATTAATGGCACACACAAGAAGGATATTAAATAGGGGTAAGTATAAAAGATGTTTTCGCTTCCCTTTTTTTTTATAATATTTTTTTTATAAGTTAACTTGTTATGATTGTTTTTAAACTTTTATCAGTTTACACCATTGATATCAAATTATTGAATATACAAAGATAATTGTGTATTATCTTACCTAGAATCATCGTCAGGAATTTGTTTTATAGATCCTTCAAAAACTGAACCACAATCAGAACAATGACCACGTACTGATAAATATGTCCCATAATTTACATTAATGTAAGACTTTTTAAACACTAGACAACATGGAATTCTTGTGTGCATAAAGAAATGCTCTTGTACAATATTAGTCCATTCATATGGAGACATTATTTGATACGTTCTTGCACCTCATTTTTCCTCATATGTTCTAGTTTTAGGCTTAATAAATTGCCATTCTTTATCAGAAAATGTAATAGAAAATTCAAGATCATCAAATATAACAGTCTCGTCATCATCTGTGCAAGGAGAACTAACTAAAAAACAATAGAACATTCTTATTAAATAAATAATTGGAGAATTATTGGAAAAAAAAAATTGGAAATGGAGCTCATTTTAAGCATAGATTTAAATACAATTTTCACTTAATATTCATTAATGATTGTATATACGTGCCTACATTATATTATAGTTAAAATGTTTATTTACTTACCGGCTATTGAGTCGATAAATGATTCAGTTGAAAAAAAATTAAAAATCTTTATACAACTGAAAAATTACACAGCAAAAACATATATAGGTACCGTACAAAACTATTCACGACGAACTGTTCACAATGAAGACAAATTTGGGAATGAAAAAATAATCTGAAATTTGTCTAACCAATCTTAAAATCTGGTTGTATAATTTTTTTCCCAATACTCTACGAGATATAATTATCATTTGTTTATTTACTAATAATATTTCAACGTATTTGTTTGGTATGTATCCTACAATAGAAATTCCTGGTAAAAATGTCTAAGGACAAAATATCCACGATCAAAATATCAAGACAAAAATAATGAATTTGTATTAAAATATTATTATATAAAATCAACCATAAAATAATCTTATTATATTCACAAGAGTGTAAACAAATGTCAGATTACAATTTAAAAACAAACAAATTTAATCATACCATAATTTATAATAATGTACCAGGTATTCCTATATTAACTGTTTTTTTTATTTGATGTAAATTGGAGTTCATTTTTCCATAATAATGGTTACTATGATTAATATTAATTTTAAATAGAACCTATCTAAAAAAAAAAAAATCAACGGTTTTACATCCTCTTTTATTTTCTAACCGACATGCTACTTTTAGGGAATTGGACCAATTTCACATATCAAGGTGTCGAAAAAAATATATAATTATTTTAATTATATTTATTAATTCATTAATTAACAAAACTACAAATATACGAAAATATATTTATTTATTATTTCTATAACCAATATCGAATATAGAAGTCAGGAGGTTGAAACCAATAGTGCCCCTTGACCAAGTCAATTTGAAACAGTAATAGCAAAACAACTCTTCCGCAAAACTAATTTAATTTTTATATACATAATTATATATTTTACTATATGTAAGTTGAAACCCATAGGCAAAGTCATATCTTGATTATGCGGTAATTTAGACGCGCTAAGAATACATCCATTAATGAAACTGTCATGGCATATAATAATATTTATTAAGATTTAATGTCAGTTTAATAATAACTGTTTGTTTTAATGTAAATAAAATCTTTTAAATACCTCCATATTTAAATAGAATTAATAACTAGAGATATAAAAAAATACATATCAATCTCAAATGTTATATAGGTAAATATCATTGATTGTACAAAATTGTACAAGTCTGGCGATAACGTTTGACATGAACACTCGTTCACACGAACGTCCGCTCCGTTATCGGTCTCCGTAATTACTCCGAGTCCACCAAACATGGCGCCGCCTCAACCATCACAAACCCAAAAATCAAAACGACATTTGTCCTCGCCTTCTAGCTCATCATCACAAGAAGAAAAGAAAATCAAACAATATACATCACCAAATCGATACGCGGCATTGGCCAAGGTCACTAACGACGAAATCGAAAATGAGGTATTTAAACCAAACGATAACATAGTATCTGTGAGCAACTAAATAAAACTAAAACCACACCTATGCCTACCCGAATACCGGCGATCTACATTAAGAATGTCACCAACATCTCAATATTCAGTAAGAAAATAATATCACTCACAGGCACTAACGATATTTCATTTAAGTCTACGCCATCATTTATTATAATCCGCCCCAACAATCGCATAACCTACAACATAGTAATTGACTACTT